ACCGGCAACAAAGGTATATACCTTGCGCAACAGCTCTAAATCACTCACTCTTTTCCTTTAAACTTTCACTCGTTACGAGCTACTTGCGCCTCTGACAATTTTTTATCACTCACAAAATGATATATATATAAGCGGGATCGATATGTCAAAGGCGATTCTGGGTGTAAGACATCGACGGAAATATCGTCGCGTTGCAACGGGACCGACGGAACACCGTAGCTTCCATTTTTTATTTACATTCACAGCATTTCGCTGCAATCTTCGGGAAATACGTCGGCAACATCGATCTCCACGGGGAATTTGGGATAGACCGGGTGTGAAAAAGAAGAGATGATCCGCGATATCGCGAGTACGTGTACGTTTCAAAGCGGGCACAGTTAATGGTGATTAACTGTCATTAATCGAGGAATCTAATTGGAACGTCGTACGGCTCGATCTCGGGAGGGGAAAAAAATCGTCATCGCCGTAAACTGAACGAGGGGGTGTAGAGAGGAGGCTGGAAAAAGAGAGGGCTGAGGGACTGACTGTTAGAAATTCGCAAGAATCATGGCAAGAATGTTCTCGACGACGGAGCGATGATAATCGGGGTGAACGAAGAAGGGTGTTTCGCCCGTCCATCCGTCCATCCGTCCGTGCGCTCGTCCGTGCCCTTGCCGCACCCCTGCCCTAACGGACCCCGCAAATTGATAGGAATGCTGGGCCGCGATGCAACGAGAGAGGCCGTCCACTCTGATGTCATGCTGGCCGTTTAATTGGCTGAAATAGGCCGCGGAGATCCATTCGCGCGTGGATTGAGAGCGTATGTGCGGAATATCGTTTTAGAGAAGGAAGAAAGGAAGGAAGGAGAGGGGAAGAGAGAGGGAGAATGGAACAGATGGAGAACGGGAGAAGGAAGAAAAAGGAATGACGGAGACACGGTACCGAGAGGAAAACGCGTTACGGCGACCAACGCAAATGAGCGAAAAACGCGAATTGCGAAAAATATGCGCACGCGAAGGAGCGAGCGAGAGAGACCCGCCCAATTGCGAGCTACTTCAAGCGGCGAACTTCAGAGCGAAAGCGCCGCGAAGGAGTATACGGAGTGCAGCGGGAAATCGCGCTCGCGCTCCGTTATCATCAGAAAGGCGACGGTGAAGTCTCCTGTCTCTCTCACTCACTCACTCACTCACTCTCTCTCTCTCTCTCTCTCTCTCTCTTTCTCTCTCTCTTCCTCTTTCTTACTGCTCGTACGAAGGGAAAGAACGGAGCCAGTAGAGTGCAAGACGGAGACGCGGAGAGAGGGAGAAAACTGGGACGGGTGCATGTAAAAAAAAATTCACTATCGATCTGCGGAGCACCGTCGGTCCCGTGCCCGTGTGTGTCGCGACGGCCGCGTTTTCCCTAGAGCAGCAAACGGCGCTGCACCCCACGGGTGCAGTTGGGTGCAATTAAAGGGAAAGACAGGTTTCTCGTCCGACCGATGGCCCTTAGCCCTTACCCGTCGGATGCCATCTCGCGCGTCTCTGGTTGACCAGCCGCCGTCGTCCTCGTCGCTACTGCCGCCGTCCTCGTCGCTGTCGCGCCCTCCGATCTCCCTGTCGCCGCTGCAGCAGCCGTCGTCGTCGTCGTCGTCACCGTCACCGTCCTCTCTCTCCTCGTCACCGTCGTCGTTAGAACGCGCGACGAGGACAAGTGCAGCGCGGTGCGGCGCGCTACCGCGCTCCGCTCTTCCACTCCACTCCAGTCTCAAGACTCGAATCACCCCGCCGACTGTTCTCGGCGCACAGTGTCACCCTCGCCGATGTACACCGCACGCTTGACACTTCACACTATGACGATGATGACACTCGGATGTCGCAACGTCCCATTTCCGCGAGCGCGAGCAGCGACGCGGCCCCTTCATGGCAGCCTCGCGGCGGCCATCTTTTTTTCTTCTGTTTAGTTCGTGGTTAGTTTCGCCGCCCCGCCGCCGCCAGCACTCCCCTACGGGTAGTGACAAAAATTCGCTCCATTCGCTCTCTCGCACGCGCACGTCGCGTGTGCTCCCCGCTCTGCGCCACGAACTGCGCCGCGAACTCTCGCACGACGCACGAGTCGTTCGAGAGCGATTAATCGAACGATTGTACTCTGTGTGCAATTGTGCATTCTGCGCTCGTTTTATATTGTCGATCGTAGAAATTGTAGAAAGCGATTCGGGCGATTGACTCTTTATTATTATCGACTCCGCGTATTATTATGAGAGCTCGCGTATGATTTATTGATGACGATTATCTCTGAAAGGACAATAGGAAAATGCACAATGTAGCGAAGGAAATGAAATCAATGAAAGAAAAATGACTGATATTCAGATACTTTTTTTCTCTTTTTCTCTCTATTTTTTATAAATACGTAAATATATCACATATATATATGAATTGAACAATGCACAATATCGTAAAGGAAATGAAACAAAGAGAAAAATTACCGATATTCAAAGACGGTTCTGTCTTTTCTTCTCTCTATTTTTTTTTACAAATACATAAATGTATTAAATGTGAGTTCCATATTATTAGGTTTCGATTTCACCTAAGTAGATTTGCTTATCGCTAGATCCCGAGCACACTGAAACAAATTGCAACATTGTTATTCATCGAAATAAATTAAAAAATATACAAAATTTACATTTCTCTATATTTATAGGGTGTCGTTCATCTTATGGAATCATGATATACCTATAGGCTCCTTTGGATGGAAATCGATATCGTTTACAGATCCATTGTGTCCTGGCAATTTGTACAATATTCTACGACTCGTAGTATCCCAGATGTAATGAAATCGGTCTGACGATCCCGCCGATACTTTGCTACCATCCGGTGACCACGCGCATCTCAGAAGATTCTAAAAAAAAATGTACAACTTATCAAACAATGTATACAATATCCCAAGATTTATAATATAAATGTTCCTTTTCTCAAACACTGTTACAGACTGGTATTCATGCAATCCGTTTTCTTATATATTTATATATTATATTTAACCCTCCAAAGCTGACAGTGATGAATCTATAATGTCTATAAGACTCACTCAATTATAAATCTCTTTACCAAAAATATCAAACAATAGAATTTTCTTTATGTTACATCTGCAAATTTGAATTATTCTTATTAAAGTATGCCTAGTATATTGAGAGAGATTTCTATATAAGTTATGTCATTTTGGTTTCTTGAAATTAATTAATGCTTTTCAATTAAAGCAAATTAAATAGATCTTACAAATTTAACATTAGTAACTGTGCTAGAAATTTTGTCATCAACTCCAGAGAATTAAAACCATCTTAAATAAATCAAGTAAAAAGAATCGATGTCAAATGTAACTTATGGATATCGATTAAATTAGAAAAAAATATTAGGCCACCTTTTCGAAGTTATGTTGATGTCCAGACAGTATCTTCACGCAGCGTTCGTAAGGAGCAAATGGTCTTACGTCCCATATCTTCAGCGTGTTATCCATTGCATTGGAAAGTATGTAAGATCCATCGGGACTGAGACTCAATCCGGTAATGGTGTCAGTGTGTCCTTTCAATTTGTAGAGCACAGCGTTCTTTCGAAGATCCCATACCTTTATGTCGTTGTCGATACCTCCGCTAATCACTTGTTCTGCTGTATCATTGAACGTCACTGCAGTAACCTAAATAATAAAAATTCGTACATAAACTAGTATTCACACTCAATAGGTTCTTATAATTAATTTTATAAATACAGTCTTAAGATATCATAAAATAATCACAAATGTGATGTGTTAACATCTTAGGCATTACTTAAGATAAGAACAGATTATAAATATCAATCAAGAGACACATAATTTCCTTAAATTATTCAACAAGAATACTTTTATGGTACCTGATATGTATTATTCAATGTGTAGCACTGCCCCCGTTTTCTCGGATCCCAAATACGTATCGTACTGTCGTCACTGCCCGAACAGAGCAACGTAGGTCCCCTTCGTGCACCTGATACGGAATTTACGAACGAAGTATGGCCCTTCAACTTCTTAATTCGCGTACCAGCTACTATATCCCACAAACCCAGTGTCATGTCTGTGCTGGCTGTGTATAAATGATTGCCATCTGGACTAAAATGTAATTCCATCACTGCTCCACTGTGTCCAGTCATAATGCCAATATTTTCACATTCTCCGTAAACATTCCAAATGACTGTAAAGGCGCAATATACTTTATTAGATAAGATAATTAAAATTTATATGCAAATATGTCGATCTATGCACAAAACATACAGATCTGTCGATCAAATCCTGTGGATACGAGGTACTGTCCCTCCGGATGAAATTCTATTGAGAAAATATCTCCTTGATGACCCTCGAGTAGCATTATCATTGACATTAAGGAGGACGTCCGTGGTGGGCCCTTAAAAATTTTACTCTGTGCACAAACATTACGTTTTTTAAGAGATATATACTTGTGGTTATACTTACGCTTTGCACAACCGCCTTCTCTCTGCTGCTGAAGACGACTTCATTTTTGGTCCTTTTCGAAGCGGGGACCAACGCTAGAATATCGTCCCCTTTTCTTTTGTCTAAGATCGGCATGTTAACGGAATATCGATTCACAACTTCAACTGCAGCACTTATTTATTATTTCTTATTTATTTACTTGGTTTCAACAGCATGAGGAGGCATGAACACCGCCAACACTTTAGTGATCTGTTTGTTACGAATTTATGACATCAACTAAAGCGCCATTTGGCATCTGCATTTAAAACTCGAATCTATAATTCGATTGTCTACAGCCGATAACTCTTTTATTATCCATCTGTCTTTACCGACGGATAATCTTGTCGGTTAAAATTAAGTCAGTGTATCGACAGAGAGAACACAGGTTGCATGCATGATACAGAGGTTATGTTCCAAAATTGACTGCCTGTACTGGAATGCTGGAAATCTATAGTGCACGTGACGTAAACTGTCGCATTTTCAGTGCTGGCAGTAAACTAAATTTGGAACACAGCCAGAGAGAAACCTGAAAATAGTGTTGTGCAGGTCATGTCCTTATCGCAACTCTTCTCCTATGGTGGGTTGAATTGAATCCCGCGCGAAGCAAATTCGGATCTTTTTTCTCTTGTTGAGGTTAGAATGCTCTCATGGATATGCATTAGTTACTCGCTATTGTCTATTGTCCATCAATTATCAACGCGGATAGGCTGATTAGAAATGCATAAACATGATTCAAGGAAAATTGATGTGCGCCACGATGAGATAATAACAGAATCATCAAGCGAAGACGGCGTGATGGGCGGATGCACTCGGCGATGATACGGCAAATTTGCAATCGCATTAAATCTAACAGTGTGAATCATGCACGGGTGTGAAGATGAGCGGTGCAAAACACAAAATTTGGTTCGTACCGTAATGTTTTTTTCGTTTAATGACATACTAATATCTGCCTCTCTCCCTCTCTCTCTCCCTTTCTATCTGTCTCTCACTCACTCACTCACTCACACACATACATTATTTTTAAACATTTTATATCTGTTTTATTATATTCACGTATAATATAACTCGCACAGCATGGTCTCGGATTTCTTTTATCCAAACATGGGCGGCGTAGAAGAGCATATCTTCAATCTTTCTCAATGTCTTCTGGAGCACGGGCACAAGGTGGTAATACTCACCCATTCCTATGAAGATAGAGTAGGAATAAGATATATGACAAACGGTCTGAAAGTATGTTTCACTCTTATAGCGAATTCACTTGCATTATACTACATTAGTGCATACTAAAAGCTGCTGTAGTACTCTATATGAAATAGTAAAATTAAATGTAAAAGCATAATGTATAAATATTTCGAATAATTAATACTCAGTCGTATACATATATTATCTCATTGCTAATGTTGATTATATTATACCATTGCATTTAGATACTTTGTATAAAGCAGCATTTAAAATGTGCATTAATTTACAGCAAATTCTATTGGAAGCATTAATTCTATTGAAAGCACTGGTATACATATTAAAGTCATTGTATACAAATTCATGTAAAAATGTGTGTGTTTATATAATATAAATATACACTCAAAAAAATATTTTGCTGCTCCAGCTAGAATTATAATTGTTTTTTGTATCTGATTAAAATTAATGTATCATATGTATAGAATTTATATATCTATAATTTTATCATATAATTTATATATTTATAAATCTAAATTCTATCTCTGTCAGCTATATGATTAGATGCAATACACATCAATATTGCAATAGTTGCTAGAAATTTATCTATTTTAGCTATTTTTTTATACTTAGATAATAAACAGATTAAACTTATAATTTTTAATATATTTTATTATTCTGTTAGGTAAAATATATTTTTCATAACTCAAAATATTTGCATTTCATTTTCATACTCAAATTAATATATAATGGCTTTAATATGCAACAGTGCACATTTGTGTGTCTAATCGAATTCACTATTAATATAATGCAAGTGAATGAAATCACCATTATTCAATTAGTCTTTAAACTCCATGTTTTCTTCTGTTCTTATATCCTTGTGTCTTATTTAAGGTATATTATATCCCTGTCAAGGTTTTCTATAACCAATGTGTTCTTCCAACGATGGTATGCTCTCTTCCACTCATTAGGTATATCTTCTTAAGAGAGGAGATACAGATAATACACGGCCATTCTGCATTCTCTGCTTTAGCCCACGAGGGGATGTTGATCGGTAGATTAATGGGACTAAAAGTAAGCTTTGATTGATCCAGTGATAAGACTCGGGTAGAACAGTACAAAGTGACTAACGCTGTGTTTTTGTAGACTGTTTTCACGGATCATTCTCTTTTTGGTTTTGCGGACGCGTCCGCTATTCTGACAAATAAATTTCTCGAAATATCGCTAGTTGATTGCGATCATTGCATATGTGTGTCTCATACTGGAAAGGAAAATACAGTATTACGAGCCAAAGTGCAAAAGGAGAAAGTATCAGTTATTCCAAATGCAGTTGATACTACATTATTTACACCTGATATCAGTAAACGGAACAACGATTTTAGTAAGTTTAGCTTCCGAGGTCTATAGTTGCCTGTATTAGCAAGGTATCATTCTGATTGCCATAATTGTAATCATGATTTTCAGTTACCATAGTAATAATATCGCGATTAGTGTATAGGAAGGGCGTTGACCTTCTAGCCCATATAATACCCGAGATCTGTTTACGTCATAAAAATGTACAATTCTTAATTGGCGGAGACGGTCCGAAAAGATGGCTGATAGAAGAGGTGCGGGAAAGAAATCTGTTGCAACATAGAGTAACTTTATTAGGCAGTCTGGAACACTCTCAAGTCAGACATGTTCTGAATAAGGGTCATATTTTCCTAAATACGAGCTTGACAGAGGCTTACTGTATGGCTATTGTAGAAGCAGCCTCTTGTGGGTAAGCTACAACATAATGCACTTTGCCGTCTTGTTTCATATTTATCTGAAATTAATTTGGAGATCTTACTTTAAATCTAATTGTTTTAACAAGTAATATTTATCATTCTTCTACTAACAAAGTGTTTGAACAAACGAAAATAAATAACGAATATTGTTTTATAGTCTGCAAGTAGTGTCAACGAAAGTTGGAGGTATTCCGGAAGTTTTGCCGCCGGATCTGATTTACCTCGTGGAACCTACTGTACCTGCATTAATTGAAGGATTGGAGATGGCTATAATGGACTACAAAAAGGGCAATATCGGATACCCTTTCGAGACACATAGAAGAATAGGTTTATATTATAATTGGTTCAACATTACCAAACGTACGGAAATAGTATATAATTTAGTAAAACGTGAAGCAAACAGAAATCTAGGACAACGATTAGCTAGTCAAATACAAAGCGGTGTATTGGCCTACTTGCTTGTAGTGTCATTGTGCTATATAATACTACAAATTCTGGAATTTCTCGTCCCAAGAAAGGTAATAAAAAATCAAACTCATTTAATTCTCTTATGTCTGTGTACTTTAATTCTAATGTATATATATTTTATTTTTTGTGTGCGTAAGTTCTATTTTTTTGCTTATATTTTAATTTTACTTTTTAAAATTGTTTACTAATGTATGTACAGCACATCATATATATATATATATATATATATATATATCAAACTACGAGATTACAGCGATATTAATGTTGTATCATCCAATGGGAAAAGAAAAGAAGATTGACTATCATCACAGAAGCCTGGAATATAGACTTTTCAATGTGTTCAAATATTTTATTCTACACTTTTGAAACATTCCAGAAAACTTGTTTTTTCTGCAAAAATTATTGTTATACAGGTAATTATCGTATATCTTCGCATAGAAGAATAACTATCATTTCATTTACCGATAAATTAAAAAGAATATTATATATAGATACATATGATATAATATATATAATGTATATATGTATATGTATACATATATATAAATATATATTACATATTATAGAGATGGGTCGAATCTCATTTTTACGTTGAAATTCTCAAAATTCTGAAAATTTTGAAATCTGAAATATTGATTCAAAACAAAAGGGTAATTATAAAATTCGTAAGATAATAAATAAAAAAAAATGTTGATATGATCTTTTAATTAAAATATTTATAAAATTGTTTTCTGCTAATGAAAACAATCAAACAAAATCATAGTAAGAGAAGCGCCAATTGTAGTCAAAGTTATATGTTGAAATAATATATATAAATATATCTTTTTTAAATATATTTATCTCACACATATATAATTGTGCATCTTTCAATGCGTTATTATGATAAATATTACATGTCTCGATCAAATTGAGAGGACGCCCGCACAGAATTCGAAAGATCCAAATTTGAATCTCGGCTAATGTAATATTTTTTACAAGTTCTTTACAGGTTTAAAGATGCTAGCATTAAGTCGATGATCAAATTTAATTAAGATTGTTATTATTTCAGATTATTTTATTGTTATTATTTTCATTGTATTGCACGTCCCAAAGTAATCGGTGCGCTGTCATATCTAAAATAAATTTATTTAAAATATATATAGAAATATTATTCCAATATCTAACTTTGATCATAATTAATTTTTTTCTTACTTAGTTGATGTATTCATGTAACGATCCTGTTTTATACTTTCTTATAGAAAAATAATTATATTTATCTCAGTTTTAAACGTCGAAAGGTCGAGATTTTTTTTTAGTGAAAAATGTAATTGTATAAGAGCTCATTTTATGCATTATCAAAAGAAATATTTTTAGCTGAGCTACTAATAGTAATTGGTGAAAGGATATATTGCTGTGAAGGGGATGATTATTTATCTACAAAATATGGCAAACTTACCACAGACTTTTATATACCAATTAGATTACTATAAATTGCCGATTATTATCTCTTTCACACGCTTTATCCCTTCCACATGCTGTTGCGTCCCGAAACTAGCATGTGTAACTCTGCCTCAGGTTTCGAGTTTTAAATCATAAAAATTGCACAGTTTCCTGTTCTGGAAACTTGAAACTTTTCAGAGTTTTGTGGTTTCGAGTATCTCATCCCTAATATATTATATATTATATATATTATAAATCCCTAATATATTATATATTATATATATAATATATTATTGTGTGTGTGTGTGTGCGCGCGCGCGCGCGCGCGTGTGTGTGTGTGTGTACGCGCGTATATGTATATATACATATAAAATGCATGTATAAATATGTACAGAGATATTCATGCATGTATAGATGTTGATTACACAGAGATTTAATTTGTCCATTAAATGATTTTTATTATGATACATGACATCGTATGAATCAATGCACAACATGTATAACAATTCGTAACGATATCCAACCGCAACGCCGCTCACCCCGCATACATTTAGTACATATGTTTAAGAAAGATTTATTGCGTCCATTAGCATTACAAAATATCGTCGCATGTATTACGAATCATTTATGCTTACTTTTAAAACAATCCGCGCTAATTTTTAAGCAGTTATTTGTAGCAATATGTGGAGTAGAAAGGTTAATTCGTGTTCATGTAATCCCGTCGTGGAACATTATTATGTTATCAATATATTTTTTTCTAAGGTTTTTCTTTTTTTTATAAGAATCAACAAAATGACTTCTCGAACTTGTAATTCCATTACAAATGTATCTTCATTCAGAATCATCCATTATCACCCGCACATATACAGAGTATATAAAGTATAGAATACATTAATCTACAAGAAAAAATATACAGATGTTTTTATACATTTATCTTTTAACAAAACATTTTATATTGTTACATATACAGCTATATCCATATATACACATATATGGTTCTTTCGGTATTATAAGATCTAATTTTGATACATAAATTAATTTCTAAACAATAAGAAAGCCAAATTGAAAATATAATAATATTTATTTCATTACGTTGTATGTTAGATACAATAATAGAATATATTGATACAATATCAATTATCTGTTTTTATTATATCGCTTTAATCGGTTTGTTTAATCATCACTGTATTACTCTGTACATTAATCTATTTATACATAAATTTTTTCATGTAAGGATCTATGATCTTCTCCTGTTTTCCATCTTGTACAAGAGAAGATCAGTGAACCTTAATTAACAACCATCATAATATTACGAGTGGTCAGATCTGTCACAACATTCCACGCTTATCCAACGTCGTATTTGTAAACGCATATTAGTCCAATTAGAAAAAAACCAAATTAACATTCTTAAAAGTGCTAAAAAGCAGTTACGGATTTTTAGCTACGCGACATTTACAGTTATAAAATAAAACTTTATAAAAGAAATACCATTTTTCTCTGTACGTATTACATCTTCCACTTAAATCTTCCACCAACTTTTCGTATTTTCAAATGTTTATTGTTATACGATCGACTACAGCGTATAGAAGAAGTCTATGTCGACGATAACGAGATCCACATATGCAGTAATCAGTGCTACCAGGATTTCATCCAGGATATCAATGCTGATATCTGGTGCGATATCTTGAGGAAGTAGTAATACACATTATGAACATTACCTTTAATCGCTATTGTGTTGTTTCTATATGAAACCGAAAGTTTCTAATGAAGAATACTGTGCTGAGTCAAAAGTCACTAGTTTTATTTCATATAATTATCCTCATAATATCAGGAAAATAACGCTCTGAATCGCTTTTTTCCTCATCCATCATTCCAGAATATAATACAAGTAACCATTCTGTTATTGCATTTCCTTCACGTATATGATAATTATATGTTCTGCTTAAAGTATCATTACTGCAATACTATGACGGCGAAGAAGTATTAAAGAGTGAGGGAAGATTCTTCGTGCTTGAAATGCACCTTAAATCATTTGCAAAATGTATTACGAGTAATATAAAGTAAATCTCTTTTCTCGACGTGTGTCTGCGATGAAGCGAAAATCCATAGGATTCAATAAGGACAAATACTGACGCACCGTATATTCAGTACTTGACGTAGAAGTGATGATTTTCGCGATCTCAAACACGTTCTATAATGTTGCTTTCTTTGTCATTGAACACCTTTACATACACATATTGCTATTGACTGCCATATATCCGCATGAACAATTATCGGTCGGCATACTTTTTTCTCCTTTTTTTTCTTGTGTATTTTAAGTGACGATGGCGAGATGAAATGTTATAAAAGTTTCCAACCTTAGTTGTGTACATAGGAAAAAGTAAGTCCATCTTCTTTCATGCGAAATATTCTTTGAGTAATATGTACAATGGAGTTTTTGTGTGTAATGTAAGAAAATAACGCCACGCTCAGCCGGTTCTAAATAAAGATCACTATTGACGATCAACTTTGAAGGGATGAGCTTCTTTCTTCGTGTGTTGGATTGTAAAAAGTCTTCATATGCTTTAAGAGGTACCCGCATTGGGTTCCTCAGCACCGGTTTGGCATGTACAATAAATAAATAACGAACCGTTTAATGAAACGAGCGTCGCATCATTTCTACGAGGTAAATTGGTGAAACAGCTCAGACGCCTTCGCCATAATCGCGATCACCTACGTTAATACGATCAGGAGCAGCAGTTACGCTGAAGCCAAGGATTCTGTTATCTACTTTGAACATCTTTCCCTTCTTTGGTTTCTTGGATTTTCCCTAAAAAAAAAAAGATTTCTCAATAATCAATGTTTTATAGATGTGAGAAAAAAAAATACTTGTACTTAATATTAATTTAATATTATAATATTTATAATAATGTAAATTATATTAAGAAAACTATTTCTGATGAGAGCGAATATATAATTTACTTTAATAAATCTAATTAAATTATATATATCTTATTATTATCATTATATCAAGATGATCTAACATTAACAAGAATATATCTTAAAACAAACAAGATACGTAATTATAAACTTCTAATTATACCTTAACTTCTTGAAATTCTGCAGGTGCATTTGGATTAACAGCGGGTGCTGGCTTACACAAGTCGTCCGCTTGTGCCTGAGGACGTTGCGCTGATCGCCATTTGCTTCGTTTTTCAAGGAATTGCTTCGCGAATTCCGTGCTCTGCTTGGTATCTCCAAGATAAACGCGAACGTATTCCTTAACTTCATACGCCGATTCGATGTCTCGCAAAAATCCAACAAACGTAGGGACTGTAAATGCGTATGAGTATAAGACAAAATTCTCATTCTCGTTCTCTTTTTTCTCTATCTCTCTCTTTCTCTCTTTCTGAGAATATTCGATATAAAATACTTACTGTCCACAGACGCCTGTATACTACTCAATGCTTTATTACACCATTGCGTGAATTCGTCGGTCTTGGCAGTGTTCTGTTCAAACAATTTCTTCACTAGTTCTTCTTCTCTCTTATTCTTACTTTTGGACGCTTTGTTATTATTATTTTGCTGCTGTTGTTGGCTGGAGGCAGGTTTTGCAATTACAGTTTGTTTAGCGGGCTGCTTCGTGGTGGTGGACGACCTAACAGGAGTAGGATCCCAGAAGCCGGTAGTACCGGAATTTGTGGACCACACTTGGCTGCTTGACGCGTTCGAATTAGCCCAATTCAAGCACTGTGATGCTGTACCCCATATTCCGGAATTCTGCAGCATATTCGCAGATTCTTTTTGGCTAGCTTTTTCTAGTCGTTCCCTTTCCTGCTAAGATATTTCAATTCTTCATTATGTAAAATCTTTCGAAAACAATATTTTACGTTATTCGCATATTCAAGAGGCAATAAGTACCTTTACCTTAGCGACGTGTTCCTGCTCTTCTTGCTGAATCTGCGCGAGACTCTTCACTTGCAGAGGTTTACTAGCAGCAATAGCCTTTTCCGCCCATTTGAACTGCAATCGCTTTGAAGAGTCGATTGCCGATGCTTCTTGTGCTGCTTCTACTGCCTTCTGCTGTGCCAACTGTTGTTGCATCAATAACTGAAGCCGTTGGTCTTCCTGTAAAAAGATAATAAACGTAGACATGCAACATATGTTAATATATATAATTTACCGCTTTCTTTTCTCTCTCGAGTCTTTGAATCTCAGCAAGCGAAGCAGTGTGAGTGGCGGGAGTCAATGTGCGTGGAGCTTGAGCCCACGGGGATTTAGTTCTCTCTTGAAGTTTACGCAACGCCTCGGCTTCTCTTCGTCGTTGTTCCGCACGACGCGCCTGCTCTTCTATTTCCGCTTGTCGGCGTATTTCCGCCTCTTTTCTGTAAGTTTCATCATTGCAAATTTTATTTTGTTATTTTATTCTTTATTAATAGCTAATATTAAACTTTGCATAATTTTACTGACATACCTGAGTCTCTCGTTTTCTTGCCTTCTTTGCTCTTCTTCTATTTTTTTCTTTTTTTCCTCTTCTCTCTTTAGTTTTTCTTCTTGTTTTTTAAACTCTTCCCGCTTTCTCTTCTCCTCTTCCTGTCTCTTCTTAAAGTTTTCCTCTTCCTGCTTCCTCTTTTCCTCACGTTTTTTCTCTTCTTCTTTACGTTTCTTCTCTTCTTTCTTTTTTTGCTCTTCTTCTTGCTTACGTTTTTCCTCCTCTTTTCGTTTCTTTTCGTCTTCCTTTCTCTTTCTTTCCTCATCTTTACGTTTTGCTTCCTCAGCTTGTCTAGCTTGTTCCTCCTTTTGCTTTCTTTTTGCATTTTCCTCTTCCACTTGACGCTGCAATTGTTCTTGTTTTCGTAATTCTTCCTTTTTTCTGTCTTCTTGTAACTTAAGATTCTGTTCTTCCTAAAAAAAGAAAATTAAACATTGATTATCTTATAACTACGTGAAAAATGATATAAAGAGAGATCCGAATAAAAGCTAATTTACTAATATTTGCTGTTCGGTTTTCATATCTTTAGCATGTAAATCCCAGAGAGAACCAGGTAATTGACCTGGTGGCATCGCAGGAATGGGTCCAACCTGAAAAACAAGATATAAATAGATAAATGAAATTACTAATAGATAAAAATCATCAAGCACTTAAACACTTAAATTTTTACGTAAATTAATTTATAACCACACACACCTGCGCTAACCAATTCTGCGCATTAAATTGGGGAACCATTTGCGGTGGGGGCTGCGGCCAAACAGTATCCATATGGGTGGTTGCCTGTGGATGACCGTTTGTGTTGACATTAAGTTGACGTAACAAAGACTTTATTGGATTGTCTTCCTGCGTCGGTGTAGGAGTCGGAGCAATATTTGGTTGTTGCATAGTGGGCAAGTTTTGCAAACCGCCCATCTGTTGGATAAGTTGCTGTATAGGATCCATTGCTGTTGGATGGGTCGACGCTGTCGTATGTGGATTCGTTGGTAAATGAGTCTCAGGTTGCGTTTTCGCCTGTATAACATCGTGTATTATTACGATGCAAAATAAACTGTCAGATTAGCGAAAATATACTAAGACATTACTTGTTGCATTTGAGTGAAAAGTTGCATAACAGGATTAGTCGCCTGAGACGTTAGGTGAGGCACAAACGGATTTGTCGCTATCGGCACTTCCGGAATTTCCTGCATTCCATCTTGTATGACGTATTGTAGAATCAATTGATTCTGCTCCACAGGAGTTAGTGTAGACCAGTGCTCCGATTGCGACAATTTCGCTATCGCTGATGTTCTCATTTGCCTGAACAGCATCTGATTGTGTAGCATCTGCATGTGCTGATATGTCATCAATAGTAATGGATCTTCTAATCCAGCCTTTGGAATAACACCAGGAGCTAGTCCAGCCGGTACGGCATTAGGAACAGGTGGTGGAATCACTTGTTCTGCTAATTGCTAACAAATGAAAATATTCAATCTTACTAATATGAATATATTTAACAATTGTAAAGTTGAGAATGTAATAATAATGTATAACTTCATGAGCTTCATTTTCAAAATCTCTGAATTTCCCTTTACACGGTAAAACTTGAATATTTTAGATGACTATAAATAAAATTTCCTTTTTTGCTTTCTTCTCTAATATTATTCGATTTTAAACTTCATATTTTTCTCAACATTATATAAACTGGTTACATTGATGTGTAATCTATATACAAGTTCTGAATTAGTAAAATACTGTTAAAACACAATAAAAATACACAACATGATATATGTAATAAATCGAACCTTTAACGGAGGTATTGGTGGACCAGGCGTGAATGGTACTCTTCCAAACATCTTAATCAAATCACCAAGTGTGACGTACCTCTCATCGCAAGTTCTTCTCACAAATAATCCTGTAGTGAAGTAACCAGCTTTATACCATTCAGCCATTTCACTAGCTAAAAATGGTCCTTGAACTTCACCCTGCGGATCACGGTAAAACCATTTTTCCGGATTACCCGTGGAGGAAACTGTGGAAGATTGATTACTAATTGCAGGCGGAACACTAGTAGCGGCTGTCTTCTCCTTGTGACTTTCCTCATCTGCCATTAATTTGGCTACCAAAGCGTCGGCTTCCTCCTTCATTCTATCTAGGTCATCTTCTGTTCTCTGCCTGACATTGGCAGTTCCTGTATTATGTACAAGCTTCGGATGCTCTAAAGGAACTTGTCGATTGGTCACAGCAGTTACCTGCGGCTCCGTTTTAATCTCTGGTTGTACGTTCTCCTTATTATGAGATCCGCTTGGAGGCTCGCTACATTTCTCACCTAAAGTCTCAATTTTATCCGTATTTGTAGATCCGATAGTCTTCTTCTGCAAGAGATCTGAGGACGATGCTAAAGTCTTTGTGGGAATGCTCTCAGTCGACGGCACAGTAGTCGACTTAACAGAAGGTGAGGTACATCTCCTCTCTTTCTGCATAGAATCATCCTTATCTTCAAGCGAATCCAATGGTTTTGATCGTTCCTTGCTTAATGTATTGGCTATTGTATTACTTGTATGGCGATTCAAGGATTGAACAGAACCTGTTCCAAAAGCTAATGATTTGCTATTAGATCTCACTACATTCGAAGCACTTCCTTCCGAGACGCGTCGAGTTCTGCCCTGTTGGGAAGCACCGGCTGCACCGTCCTCATCATCATCTGAATACATTCCACCATGAAATGCACCCGAAGCATCAAAACTGCCACCACTCTCGCTGGGATTCTCCGTTGCCCTATAATATAAAATTTATAATATAAAATAAAAGAGATATACTCTCTACAGAGAGAAATCATTTAACATACCATTCAGGTAGATTGTCATGATTATCGTGATGATTAGATTCCCAAGTGCGAGCAGTGCGAGGTGGTGGATGATGACCAGAATCATGGGAAGGTCTGTGGTTTCCCCGATGCTCCCATCTTCCCGGTCCACCTCTACCCTCCTCTCCATCACCCTCATTTCGGTCCAATCTGTCCCGATCCATACTACCACCTTCGCGCCAATTATTTCTTCCTATATAGATATATTGTTTTATTATATGCATATAACTATAACAGTCAAAGAAATACAAAAGATAGAGCGTGTATTTACCCCATTTGCGCCAACTATCATCGTCCTCTCCGCTTCCACGATGACGTCTCCAATTACTCTCCATAAGCGAACTATTACTAGTCCCGCGATTTATATCCTTTCTAGGACTAGTCGACCCGTTCCATTCTACCGGATCTGAAGCGCCGTTTCTTTCTGACCAGCCGCGTTCGCTTTGAGATCTATCAAACGTTCTATTTCTTCCCTATAAATTTACAAGATTTCGCCACTTTGTGCTGAGCCTATTACATTTGATCATCATAAAGTACAAATTTTAGTAAAATAAATTTGTACATAAATTTTAAGATATATCTAGTTCTCAAGTTTTTATGGTAAAGGAAGAATAAAAACTACTTTAATATCGGGTTTTACTTGGAATGGTAGTAAATATTAAGATTTATCAAAACTGTGTAAAAAAAATTGAGATAGCTTGAAGATTAGTCATCTAAACAAGGCTATATAGCCAAAGCAAAATTTAAGATTTTACAGTAACATATATATTAAGCATAATTTATACATATATAATGGAAAATACAGAAAAGTATTATATTTAAAACAAATTAGTAAAAAGCACATTCATATCTTAAAAAAAGTTCCATACCTGGAATGATTGGCCTTCGGTTCGTATCCCATCACCGGAATCATCAAAACCAACTCCGCGTGAATAATGAGACGAATACAAGCCTCCTCTTCCAGTTCTACCACGTCCACGATCCACACTGCTACCTCTTCCACGGCTACTACCAATATTAGTTATCCCTCCATTCCACATACGCTGCAAAATTCAAATACATACATTTACATTACAAGGGATATTTCACAAAATAAACTTATTCCAATTTTACATAATTTTGTAATAATAATCCTGAACAAAGCAGTCACATAAAAACATTATTCGAAAAAAATACATTTGTTTCATAATATTGTTAAAATAGTGTTTAAAAAAGCGAAAAATTTCAAAACTTCAAAATTACAACCAAGAACATCTTTTCTGTCGTAAAAAGAAATGTTTATTCAATTTATTTTGGATTAACGCTTCTTAATGTTTCTCACAATTAAAAATAAATATTTAATATAATATATTTAACAATAACAATTTTAAAAATATCAAATAAAAAATAATTAATTATAATTTATCATTATAACTATCATCAAAATGCAAACAAATACTTTTGATAGCAATATATGAGTGTATTCACAAATTTCTCACCCTAAAATTCCATTAACATTTCCTTGATTTTTACAAATTTCATGATTTCCCTAACACTTAATAAAATTTTGAAGTTTTTTGTATTTTCGTCCAGATTGAAAATTGTTTTATATTTTGTTGAGAGATCAATTTAACATAGCAATGTAAATTACTATTAATGCTACTAACACACTTGTATTTTTAATTTTCAAGTTGGTAATGTCCCAAAACTATATCAATGTGATGAAAATACATTAAACTTCTTTAAAGCTAAGAATTTTAATTTTCAAAAAAATTTTGCAAAATTCCCTGACCTTTCCTTGATTGTTTTCAATTTCCCTGATAATTCCTTGATTTTCAATTTTACGATAACCCTGTAAGAACTATTGCAAGAAAGCTGGAATTGTTAATTTTTAGATAATCTTCAATATAAAATGAAATAAGAATATACAATAGAGTATTACAATTTCATAGCCAATTTTCCTTTCCTTATTAGCAAAAATAAATTAAACTAGGCTTCACATAATGAACAAAACCATCAAAGAACAAAGTATTATAATATTATTACATACACTTTACACTTTTTATGTGATTAGTTACCGATTCATCATCTGTCATGGTTGTGAGAGCCAATGGAAGCTGAGTTTTCTCCACATACAGTGTTGGAAAAGTTGTCAATGGCTCCGAAGGTTTACAGTTGCGATCAAACAAGGCCAGCATCTCTTCCCGGCCATATCTATGCTCTGCTAACTGATAACGAGGTGTACTCAGGGTTGTTGTCCCTCCACCACCACTACCAGTATTGCAACTGTCTCCTGACGAAACCTTGCGCAACCTATGTATAATAAATATAATAAATACAATACAATTCTAAACATAATTAAATGACATTCTAATGTTTCACCAGTGACATAAATCACATACCACTCTGGACCAAATTTCATGGAATCAGTCATGATGCACTATCTCCTGAAAAAAAGGAAAACAAGACAAATGAAATCTACAGTTTATAACAAAAAAGCACATAATATAAAAGAATATAACATGTTATGCTATAAAGATAAGTCTTAAAAAGCATCTTACAAAAATCTTGAACACACAGGAATCAGATTGTGTAACGTGACAGTTCCGAGGTGTTTTTTTTATCAGGTGCTGAATGATATTCGCAAAACAAATATTTGCCAGACTATGTGAAAATTAGCAAGCAACCGAAGGATAACGCAACTTCTAGCAAAGGATCGCAAGTAGATGAATAAAATTTGCTCCACGTCGCGGCGGGAGATCCGTCATCTGTTACAACTTGAATGCAGACGTGTGATCCGTATGATACGATACGATACGATACGATATAAAAAAATCTAACGCAACAATTTCGCGTAGCAGGATGTACAGGCCGACAGGCTGTACCTGTTGCTCAAAGGTGTACCGGTTCGCCATCGGCGATCGCGCGCGCGTACCACGGCGAACACGGTGACACGTAGAGCGACGTAGGTTCGGAGAGAAACGAACGTGGAGGGTGGCACACAACAGAGCTGAGAGCAGCAGCGCGAGCCTCGTTAATCGCATGCATCCCCCCGGGGGACTCGCCGTCGCGTCTATGGCGTCGCGACACAGTCAACGGTGGCAGCGTCGAGCGTCACGGACGCGCTTCACCGCGAGACAGCCGCGTATCTCATACGTATTCCATGACGTACTCTCATAAAGCGCGAGCGGAGGTGGTTACTCCGCAAGCCGAGGTGGCAACATTAACCAAACTTTTTTTGCTGGCGAACATCGGGGTGATTTGCATGCGCGACGGATCGCGAAAGGGACGGCGCGGCCACGGGGAAAACAATCGGTCGGCCGGATCCCGCACAACCGCGACGTAGAGCACGGCGACGGGCCTACGGGAAAAATACCTTTGCTGATCTTCGAAATTACTGAGGACAGCGATACAACACACCAATATGGCTGATGGTTTTTTTTTGGAATAAAGCGCATGCGAAACTCCGTCTGTGGTATGCCTGGGAGGAGGCGTGGAAAGTTACTAGGATTATCGCGCATGCGCACAAAGAGGAAACTGATCGGAATAGGAAACGATTGGAAGACTAGAGTCCCTCTATATAGGGACTCCAAAGGAAGACACGTGTCTTCTTTTTCTTCCCCTTCTTCTTGAACTTCCGACAGTGGAGATAAGGCTAACTTCTAACTTTAATTTCGTAATGTCTGGAGAACACGTGTAAAACGCCAAAGAGACCGTTGACGTTTGAGTACTTTGTTACTTTTCGCGAGAGAGATTCTTGGAACTACAAACCTTCGAATTTTTCTAATTCACCTCTTACCTAAAAATCTTCTCCCAAATTCATTTGTTTATTTTTGAATTTAAATTTTCTAGGAAATTTTTTGATAAAAAAATATTGATAATTATTTACGATCGATAAAAACAATACTGATTTTATCGGCCATACATAATCACTAAAATTTGTAAATCACAAAAATATACAAATTCATAAATCATCACAAAGGAAAATATATAATCGGATAAGAGGTAACATTAACTAAAATTTCGCGAGAGAAGAGTTATAATATAAAAATTTTAAATATACATAAATTCAAATCGTAAAAATGGAAATAATAGTTGCTTTCCATTTACATCGATTCTCAGATAATTATCATTTGTGACGTCATAACTCCAGTTGAATGCGCTCCTTTTGAAGCTTATATCGAAATCTGGCTATTAAAATCTTTCAAGATCAAAGAATCAAAATTATACAATTGTTAATTGAATATAAATAATAGTTATATTAAATTATAATATATA